CTTAATATATTATATGTCTCTTTTGAGTATTCAAATAATTAATGTTCTCTCTCTCTCTCTCTCTCTCTCTCTCTCTCGCATTTAAGTCTTTATGGGATGCCCTAATAGTAGTGATTTTATTTTAACAAAAAACAAAACAAGCTTTTATTAAACCTCTAAACGATAGTCTAAGGCATAGACATAATTCATTGAATCATTTGCTTCTATTCCTTAGCCATTAATTTGCAATAAAGTATAAGTTCTTAACGTTTTGTCTAAATGTTTCAATTTTTAGCTCAAAATACAACTCACAAAATATATCATAAAATCTATTTTCTTGCAAAATGTACGAAAACATTACAAACTATTCTGTGATTACATTAATACTAATTTCATGGGAGAGAAAGAGTAGGCAATAAAATTCATGAGATATAGAGTTTGACAGAGAAATCGCAGAATCAGGAAATGTAATCAATCACTGAAATACATATTACTCTTAATATATTATATGTCTCTTTTGAGTATTCAAATAATTAATGTACTCTCTCTCTCTCTCTCTCTCTCTCTCTCTCTCTCTAGTATTTTTAATTCTAAAAAATCACTTAAATACATAATTATTATGTGAAAATCCAATTAAAACGTAATTCCCGAATTTTCCCGATTTTGGCCTTGTATACTCCCGAATTCACATGTTTTTATTCCCGAAAAATCGAGACTCTATTCATAACTGAACAAAACCTTTAGGATATAACTTCCTAAATGAAAATAATATTTATTATCATTTGGTTTGCAATAAATATGTGCTTTAAATATAGCGAACGGAAAATCGTAATTACGGTAGTATTGAAAACAAATAAAATTCAGAATAAATACAATTATTCTCATCTTTTGGTCATTTTTATTCTGAAATAACTCACAAAACGATTATCTTATAGTGATTTGTGGAGCAATGCATTAGTATTAATGGTAAAGAAGCGATTCATAGTAACCTTTCTTCTGCCGAGGGATCCATTCAATGCAAACAATGAATTTTCAAATAATTCTTTTACACATTTCTCTTTAAAGAAGGTTTGCCTCAAATTGTATTTATTTGTAAATAGTTTTCTGTTTAATCTTTTTAAAATTATAATTTTATAAGTATTTCAGTCATACAAAGTAAATGTGCAATAATTAAAGGATTCATACAAACAGATTATTTTATATATCAATTTATAATTGGAAAAAAGATGTTCTTTAATATAATTGTTTTGCATTTAATAAAAAAATTCAATACAAGTTATAATTCTCGGAAACGACTGATAACTAAATTTAATGAGTTTTGCATTCGTTTGTGAGTGAAGTCTAAATCTGTTTATGAAATGCATTAAAATTATTTGATTAAAAATTTTCGCAACAAGACTCTAATCCTCGTCAGAATTATTAGTTTTAAAAAGCAATTCAAACTTATTTTGCATTTTAATACCAAACGAAATACATTTGCAAAAATTATTTTCATATTTTAAATTACGTTATGAATAAAAAGTGTATAATTTTATGAGTAAAATATTTCATTTATTTTTTATTAATAAATTTATTAATAATTTTACATATTTCTTGATTATGACCTAAAATTTATGGACACTTTTTAACAAATTTATAGTACATTTACAACATAGTTGATGAGCAGAGGGACAGCCAATTCCGGGCCTTCAATCTTACGGTTTATACAGAATATTTGCACATCTGATGGGAAATTAAATATACCGTATATAATATAAAACGTATAAAACCAGTATAACTGATAACCTCATTGACTGTCCCTTTATTTCAATTGATCGGTAATTTAGAGCACTTCTTATTTTAACGGCTTCTCAATAATTGCTTTGATTAACAAATGAATTGACATTAAATTCATATAAATATGTTTAACATATAATTCTGTATCAAATGTTTCGCATTTTTACTTTTGATGTAATGCTATGAATGAGATGTCAATGAATATGATAACAATGAGATCGATATAATTTAGTGTTGATTTTTTATACATTAATAATCAATTTTATTAAAATGTTGTGCTCTAATGATTTGTGGCTGAGATAATGAGTTATAGTTAGAGCTGTTGTTGACATTAGTTTGGTATGTCTTCTTCCTTCCCGGCTTAGACTTGCTCTGACACGCGAATGAAAACTTCAGGTCATTTATCATCTCTTCACACATTGTCTCCTATTGTGGACAACAAAAAAAAGTTTAATTCATGTTATAATTGAAATAAGATTCACATTATTCAATGAATAAAATTATTGCACAAGTGATAGTAGAAGTTAAATTTTATTATAACTTATTGTTTTTTTTATATAACTCTTCTCTCTATTATTCCTTTTTGTGTAAAAATGTGGACATTTTTGCTTTTAATGAAAAATATTAATCATAAGCTAAATTTATAAACAAATAAAAATCAAAATAATTAAAAAGTTCCCATTATTTATAGCTTAACATTCTTTAATAAATTGGTCCCAACGTTAGGGTATTATGAAGTTTACGGTTAAATAATATCTATTTTAATATATATTCTGTGGAAACAAAAGCGCAGAAAATGCTATTTTTTAAGTTATTTCGTGGGCTATTGTATGTAATTTAATATAAGAGCTTATAATAAATGTATTCATGAATTGTATATTCAGTAGTGTTTGTTGTTTTTTACAGGAGAGAAAATGAAAGGCTTAGAGCGCAGGCAATAAAACACGAGAATATAATAAATACATTTAATGTAATATAAAGACAATATAAAAGTTAATTCTCACGCATCCTGTCGTAGACTTTCTGGATTTCCACATGAATTCACAAATGGCCACAAAGAAGGCCAACGAGAGTCCGCCCAAAAGGACAACGAAGACTCCGCCGACGTTATCTATTTTGAGTGCCGTCACTGACGATGACTTCTTGCTGTCTTCGGCACACTGTCCGCCGCCCTTCTTCTGCTTCCACCACTTCTCCTTCAACATATGCAGTCGACCCGTCTCTTGAAGCTTTAGTATCGACTGAGACAACAGATTCCTATGCCTCGAATCTAAGCAAACAAAACACATTATTTTTCAATCAAACTATCGTTAAACTATACTATAGTTATGCATTGTTTTGCCTTTCAATCATTAATTTCGCTCTCGTTTTAAGCATTTTTGTATCCAATTATTTATTATATTTTGTCTATCGATTAGATTTGGTAATCAATTTTGAAACATGTTTTATGGTTTAAATTTTTTATATTATTTAACACAGCTTAAGATATAACATATTATTTGTAGACTTTATGAAACATAATGGAAAACTGGAATTTTATTTTTTGATTTAATTACTGCTAAACATTCAATGTTGGCTTTTATGTTAAAGATTAGGCAATTGTTTATTTTGTAACAGACATTATACACTGAATTCTGTATAGTGTTCACTGCATAAGAAAGAGATTTACCATATTATTAATGAGTGGATACTAAATGTGATCTCCGTTTTACTATTTGTTAGTTAAGAATAAATTATTCACTTCAGTATATTATATGATAATTATTCATAATATTGTAATATTGATTTTTAGACCGAAATTAAGCAAAATGATGAATACAAAAAACTATTTTTAATTATTATGTTTAGTATGCAAACAATTTTGACAAAATATAATTAATATAATTCTAAGTTAATTATCTGGGTTTCAACTGATTTTATTTAAAAACAATTTATAATATATTGTATAATTGACCACAAAATTGATAAATATATTAATAGATTTTGTGATTAGAATATAATCCATAGAAAGTAACAAAACATTATATTATTTTAGATTATCATTAGTTTGATAAAAATATTCTTTCGCTTATTATTCTGATATATATTAATATAGAGTATATTTAAGGAAAAAATGCCACGATTTAAATGCTCTAAATATATCACCGATTCTTTCTTTTTATTTGTCTCCTCTCAAAAACATAGTATTCTGTATTATATTTCTATATAATGTGTTATAAATGATAAGAATTAAAAATACTAGAGAGAGAGAGAGAGAGAGAGAGAGAGAGAGAGACGTCTAATGCAATAAATTATATAAATGATTAAATGAATTAAATTTTTTACTTTTCTTCGTTGCGATTCCATATCCTTTAGTGTCAAGTAATCCTCCGATTTGTGTTAAATTGCAATTCCTTTCGACGATGTATTCAATAGACGCCGATTCCATCAACTGATCCCCAGTTCGCACAAAAATAGGGATTAATTAGTGAAAACAAATCAATTGAACAAAAAAGTATTGGCAACAAAAGGCACACAAAACATAGTGAATGTAATGATAGGACATTACATACATAGGCATAGTTTCCTTTCTGAACTCGTTTCTTTCCCTCGTCGTTCTTAGACATGAAAACGTCTCGATTCTTCATGAAATTCCACATTCGCTTAAATGTAGTAATGTTTGAGTCCTGAAAAAACGATTTGGTGGACCCACTGGCCAGACATCCGTACTCTATCGTCGACTGCAACGACAACTCGTCGGCGCTTTCAATCGGATAAATCACTTTCTCGACCGTCAAAAAGGCGGCCAAATTCGCAGTGTATGAAGAAATCATTATTAATGTAAAGAAATACCAAATGCCAGCTATAGCTCGCGTAGACATTGCCCTAACAAACCAAATATAAAAAATTACCATTTTATTCGCATATCCGGTAAATATTCTCTGTTTTTTATATATCGGTATATTATATGCGTTTTCTTATGCAATATTTGTGTTGAATATGCGATCAAATGTGCGGACGAATGAATATTTTATGTATTATACAAAACCAAATAAAAACTGCTCGTTTTATAGCTATTGATATAAATGTCACAGTTTTTGCATACAATATCTGTTGAAGTGTTTTAACATTTCATATTTCTTCTGAAGTTTTTTGCTTTCTTTGCATTAAATCTAATTAAATTAAATTTCCAATTTTTCTGTTTCATATATTATGAGATGATGTGTAAAACCTGACTATAATTTAAAGTCTATGAAGTAGTTTAACAATAAATTCACGGCTTTTTTTGATGATTCTATCGAATGATAGTAACCTATATTTTTGCTACATTTTCTGAATTTTAAAAGTGTTTTTCAATTGAATTATAAAAATATTCAAATATTACATGCAATATAAATATGGATATGTTGTGAAATCTATTTTCAAATCTCACTTCAAAAATCAGATTTAAATGACCCATCAATTCAATGATCGCTTGTTTTATTTTTGAAATAATTTAAATTCTAAAATATATTCAAATACAATAAAATTGCGAAATATTTGAATTGTAAGAATGCATTGGTTTGGATATAATTTGATGTATGCATTGATATAACTGTGATTTGCATAAGATATTGGATGACATACTTGGGTGTGAGGTCTGATCCCTGTTGCATAAGGGATCCGATGGTGAAGAAGAAACTATTGGTTAAACTGAAATTGTTTTCGAGAACAAAGTCTTCCTGACGACAGGGATGAGGATTATCCCATTCGTAGGGCGAAAGTCGGCCCACAATGAAGAGTATGGAACTGACGCCGACATAAGCGGCCAATACATAGACCCAAACGACGTTAGAAAAGGGCGATAGGAATGAGAACAAAGTGGTCACTTTTGTTGTCGGCTTTTTGAACAAAATGCTAATTCCTGTGTTCATAAACGGAAGCGTAAAGTCGACCGCTTCTGCTCTCTTCGATGTGATCGTTAGGTCCACTATAGCTATGTCTGCCTTTCCATTGATTATTTCACCTAAAATTAAATTCAAAAATATATCAAAATTCATAATAACATTATTTTATTATTTTTGTTTTTCATTTTGTAAAATATATTTTTAAATGTTCAGTATAGGCAGTAATCATTGGATTATCTTTTAAAACGAAGATTATTTCTTAATTTCTATTCCCGAGTCTCAATGTTAAGTGAAATTTAGTTCACAAAAACCGAGGCAATTCGGTCCCATGGTTAGGCGGTCCCTAACGCCCTCTCCCATACATTACTACATGTACACTACTAAAAGTCATTTGTACAGCTCATACAGAGGGACCGGCTTACCATGGGACCGCCTTGCCTCGGTTTCTGTCATGTAATAGATTACCATAAAAATGGTTTATTTATATTGAGAAACATATAAAATAAAAAGTAAATTAATTATAAGATTGTTTAAATAGTTTATATTTATTTAATAGCAGTGTTTAATAATAGATTAGATTTTTTGCCTAAATCTTGTGTTTATTTAAAACTTAGTTATTTATCATTAAAAAATCATATTAATATAAAAAAAACTATATTAAAATTTATATAAAACAACATTTGTTTTATAATGTAATGTTTGAGACATAATTAAATTTGGTAAAAACAATGCATTTCACTCTATTATTTATAACCCGCGAGTTATTCAACAATTATTTTGGCAAACATTTTGCGATTCGTGTGAAAAGGTTTCATAAATTTAAATTTAAATCAAATCAAATGTCTAAATGTAAATGTCTTGACATATAAGCAGATCTCATAAAAGAAGAAAAAGCAAAAAAGTGATGAGTTTTGTTAAGAGTGTGAAAAAGTGAATAAAAAATATTATAACAAAAATAAGAGTCGAGTTATAAAGCATTTCGAGTCAATAGTATGGCTATAAAGAGACAGAAGAAAATGTAATGTAATATACGGTATATGAGATGAGATACAAACTATTGACAAAAATAAAATAATTGTATTTCAACTTCAATATACAGAATCAAGAAAATAGTCAATAATCATAAATAAAATCTTTGTTAATAGACTGATAAGCTATCAGTGATAAGACACTAATATATTTTTTAATAAAAGTTCTTTATTTTAATTAAAATAATTATTTTAAATATCGTTAGAAATTATAACTCAATTTGGAGTTTCAATGATTCCTAATGTAAATGGAAATTGGCTTAAATTTGATCGAATAATAAGATTATTAAGATTTATTCAACAATCAGTTCAAAATAATTACATTAATATAATATAAATTTCACGGAATTTAGATTTAAGACTAAAAAATGTTAATTAATTTACATCTTATCTCATGAGAAATGATTTAAATTAAGACTAAATAAACTTTTATTTTAATGAATACATTCAAAAAACTCATTATAATTGTAACAGCTTTGAGAAGTATAAAAAAGATTAGTTTTATGGCAACTTTTGGAAAAGTTTCAATTTTAAAAGTGATGTTATTAATGATTTTTGTAGAGATTGATGAAATATTTCTTACATTTTTTGTGATCAATAGTTTGCATAGTATTATGGCTTAATTCTAGCTTATGTTTTGCATATAATAATACAAACCATAATACACTATATTTAATCAATAGCTAATTTAATTCACAAATCTTAATCAATAGTCAATTCGTATGATTTATATTTTTATTAAACAGTAGTAAAACCATAACGGTGTATTAGATAACAAATTTATTATTTTACAAATACCTTGGTACATATTTTATAGTGCACGATTAATTTAATCTTTACAATTATAGTTTAATAGAAATTCTTACGATCAAATGTAGTGCACAAAAATTGTATGAATGCTTTATTATACGAAACAACGGTAAGAAACTTAATAACACTATTGTTTTCAATATTGTGTACATTCTTGAATCAAATCAATAAAGATGTTTCAAATATCTGATGTCTGTTTTCTCTCATAACTAAATTAAATCCCAAACTTGACAGCAATGTTGCGATAAAAATATAAAAACCATAGCATTATGTCTTAAAGACTTGTGAAGTCTATACTGTGAGCTCAACTTTACTGACAATATCTATAACTAAAGCTAAACTAAGAGATTATGTTAGAAGTAATGGACATAATTATAAATACAATGGGCTTTCGTATTGATCTTTTATTATTAGGTTTGTCTTGAATTTATAGATAATGTATTAAACAGTAGTTTAAGTACTGACTTCTAAGAGCAGGTATATTACCACGAAATATACACTCAACTCAAAAGCACCGGAATTTATTTAAGTAGTATTTATGTAATATAAAAATAATAGACTATTTTACTCAAAGTCAGCAGAAAATAAAAACAAACTAAACCATAAAGATTGAGGAAATGGTTTGAAATTTGATTTAGAGTAAGAAGTTTTTGTTGTCGATTAAGGCCTTCATAACAACAAACCCTTTAATCTATTATATGAAAGAAGAAGACCTGAAGAGGTAATGTGTATGAAAGTAGATGTAGTGATGGATAATAGTATACCTATGAGTCCATTCCAATATCCGCTCTCATTCTTGACTCCATAGGCGTTGTCGTCGACGAGTTTGAATTTATACTTAAATCCAAGCATTTTTGACAACTCGTCGATTACGTCGACAATATAGCCCTCGAAGCGATCGTTGCCTACTTTGGTGGCCGAAGAATCCTTTAACATACAGTACGGAGCGTTGATAATAGTGGTCACTGTCAACGTCTGGTTCGCCAAAGACATTATCGAGTAATTGTCTCTCCATTCCTCACTTATGTTCAATGGCTGTGAGGGTTGGCTTCCGCTCCAGTAACCGATCTGATGGACAAACATAACACCAAAACAAACATACACTTCATTGCGTCAACAATTCTAACTATTTTCTTATTCATAGCATAATAAACATGGTATAAACATGGTATAAACATGGAAAATAACTATTCAAAGTAATTTATAGTTTACAGGAGGTTTATCGTAAAATTTCATGAAAATAAATTTTATATACCAAACAAAATATTTAAAAAATATCATATGTAAAGCATTTCAAAAATTAATTAATTTAAAGCCCACTGTTATCTGTAAGTTATCGGCGAGTGATCTAATGTTAAGGTCGTTAGAAATCATTTATCATTAAATCCTTTACTAACAGACGTCTCAGACAACGAGCCTTTAGAAGGAGATGACGACAAATGCATAAAAAGTTAATTTATTACAGAATTAGCATAAAATCAATTATTCTGTAATCCGGACTCAAATTCAATGAATGGGTGAATAAATTTGAAAAAATATTTGATGTGCTCTCAGTTTTGCAACGAAAGCACTTAATTTTTCTCATGAAGAATAAAATTCATATCTTTATTATTAAATGCTTTCATCGCAACTGAAAAGAGTATTCAAATTATGTAAAAACCAATTAATACTAAATACACAATAGAGATAAATACACTTCACATAAAGGAAAAAATATTCAAAAAACTTTCAGATCATAATATGATTTAATAATAAATAAAATTTCTAACAATATTTGTGTTAAATTTGGCAAATGATATACAAAAGAAAATTCTTATAAAAAACATGTCTTATATTACAGACGATTCTTGATGTCCGATATAATGATATCTGAATAAATAACTCGTGCTTTTCTTATCTCGAGTCCAATACTCTAATAATTTGTATGTATTGTTATATTCAGGTTTCATAACATAACACAACACATAAGCATCGCTTTCAGGTCTAAAGGGATACGACAAAAATCAATAATCATTCAGATGTTTGTGAACTTATCCGACACTACAATAAATAATAGGCAACAAAAATAAATGTCTACTATTTATGGATACAATTCATAGCTCGAAGCCCTCCAAACTCTGTCCACACAATATCTCTACTCTTGTGCTGTTGTTTGCACTGGACTTCTACTCCTATTCAAGAGAATGTATTAACTATTTTCACACAAAAGCCTTTCAAATGAACACAATTTGTTAAACTCATCGCATATATGTTTCTGACACTATTTGCTTTCAATTGTGCTAAAAATAAAACTTTTGCTTAATTAAAGATATAAAACCAAAAAACATTCCAACATTCAAAACATGGTAAAACATCGAGAATAATAAGTGATTGAAATAATAAATCAATAGATCGATGAGAATATAGAGTTTGAATTGTCATCTCATTATCGGATAGTCATTATATGTTAGCCATAGAAAAATGCGAGAATACCTTTTGAAGGCCGTTATCAGTAATAGTCATCACATCTAACGTAAAACTGCTTCTGTGGCCGAATTGATCGAAGTCTACGAGTCCTGTCAGCCCTCTGAATGTGATCTAACCATCATTATTGTCATCAGTTAATGAGTTTAAATTGAATATTGAAGGCGAGGGAGTGTTATATACAGACCGGTCGCATATAGTTCATGAGAGAGCTGCCGAACTGCCACTGGCTCTCAGTTTGGCAACTGATTGATGGCATTGTAATCGATTGGCTTTGATCCAAGTCTTGTAGTGCCGTCGCTAACAGTTTTACCGAGTCGTATAAAAGTGCCGATTCTGTCTATAGTACGCATACAATCATATATTCAATATAAATTCAATTATTTAATATTGATTTAATAAATATTCTTTTTCAAGACTAACAATAAGTCTAAAAATAGACCACAAAGTCCTCAATCACTAATATTTTCAACATTATTATCTTAATATATAAAGGGATAGTGTGGTGAACCCCAGTGTTGGTGATCCCCACTTATTTATCTGTTGTATTATATATCACATACACAACTCCTTACATCTGAATTATTTTAATGATAGACATAATAGCTTTCATTTCGTCTTTCCTTAGCATTAAAGCAATAAAATGTTATATGAAAATAGATTTATGACAAAAATAATTGTTTGACTTATTTTTTGGTTAATATTTTCTCCATAAAAGAATTTAGTTTTTACTTTCACTACAAAAAAAATTTAAGAAAAGTTTTTGGAGTATATTTTAAATGATTACATCGACTGTTAAGTCAATGCATTTACAGAAACTTATCGTCGATTAAATGGATGCGAAGCCGTATTTTGAGTCTCAAACGTGAGCCTTATATTGAGAATAATGTGAAGCAATGTTTGCGTTAAACTAATCATGTAATGGATTGTAAGTCTAGTGTTAACTGTAAATCACTTGCAAACAAATGTACACTCAATTCACTATTTATAATATAATGCAAACACGCGTTAAAATAGCTATTTATCCGATTCTGCATCAAATGTTGATTAAAGTAAACGCATATTACTATATATTAGTATAGTGTACGCGAGTATACATTAAACTACTGTATATTAAAGTGATTTATTTCACTGATACTGTATATTAAAACAAACAATTCCTTAACGATTTAATTCCTCGTATTTATAATAATTTGCGATTCTTTGCATTTATTTCTTTAATAAATAATAGAATTGTATTTGAAATCAAACAACAAATATAAGATATTTGAAATGAAAGTTTTAATATTTGTTAAAAGTTTAAATATATTCCGTTTTATTTTCTTTTTATTGTGCTTTTAGTTAAACTAAGCTCTCGTTGCCTACGAGTTGCGACTGAAATATATATATATATAGTTATATATGTTTTTCGTGTAAAACTAATTTTATTTTATTTTATTGTTACTTTTGTCTGCAGTCAAACGGTTCGCAAAAAAACTCATTTAAGTGTTATTTGTATTCAAGCCGTAACTGAACGACACATTTGACTCTCGGGTGTTGTTTGTATGGGAAGAAGCAGTGAATCACATCCTTTCTAAACACTTACCAAAATATTTTCGGGAGACTTCATCTCATTTAGACCTCGTTTGGAGGCCAGTTGTGTCCAATCGGCCAAAAGGCTGTGCAGTTCAGGATTCGTTGCATCCAATAATCGCAGAGAAGTTATCTTTGTTTTGGCGAATTTGAAATCTTCTAAATCTATTGTTTGCAAATCCTATTGAACGCCAAAATAAGTTATAAGGATTAAGAATTTTAAGAGTAAAACACTTTTCCATTACACGTGTTTAATGTTTTGGTTACAATATAATTGCTTTGAGAATATGAGATATTTTATTAACAATGTGACAAATTGTTTCATTTTAAATTAACTAATTTACAGAAATACTGAATCAACTAATATTATACTGATATTTAATGATCAAATAAAAAGTTGTCTAAAAGTCTTATATGCTTTTTATATAACAGAAATCAATAACTTTGATCACATAATATGATAAGGTTTTGTCAAATATAAAGGCTCTCTCTCTCTCTCTCTCTCTCTCTTCCTCCCTTTTATTTCACTCTTGAGATCTAAACGTTTTCCCAAATTTTTGTCATTTATTGAACAAAATTGTAAATAAAAATCCCTTTTTCCACACAATTGTATTAAAATATAAAATCAAATAAAAAAGTCTTTAATTTTACATTTCAACAAGTCTTCAAAAATATACACT